GGCTTCCGAAACCGAAGGTGACGGCACCTGTGCCGCTGGCACTCTGGCCAAAGCCACTGCCGAAGCCGCTGCCAAAGCCACCACCAAAACTTCCGGATGTGCCAGCGCCGCCGGCTTGTGCAGGAGTGCCTGTGCCAAAGCCGAAAACCACTGACCCAGCCGTGCCTGTGCCAAAGGCCGTGCCACTTGTGCTGGCCCCGCCCCCGAAACCAAAGCCTGTCGGTTTTGCATCCGATGAGCTTCGAAACATGGCTATGGTTGAGGCCTTGCGGACTTCCTTCTCGGCCTCAATCTTGGCTACATCTTCTGCAGAGAAGCCAGGCTTGTAGCTTTCACAAGCTTTGCACTGAATCGCGCTGTCGTCCCAACGCAAGGAGCAGGTGTCGCACTTCCACTTGCCATCATCCAGGTTCGCGAAGCTGGCGAAGCTGTTTTCCTGCGGGAGCTCCGAATCTTCAAAGTCCGCGAAATCAGGGAGTGCATCATCGGGCTCCCCCGAAGCCATGAGTGCTACATACTACTGCTGGGCGTGCGGCGTGAGAATGGTTGGGCTTGTCATGCACATCATGCAGCAAAGCCGCATATTGGCCCCTTCAGTTTGTTGCGGCAAGATCCAAGCAGGCTTAGACAAATGCTCTGCCTCCAAATGTCGCGTAACTCACTGCACTTGGCATGCTTTGCTCTTCTAGACACTCCTAATCATCCTAATCCACCTGCAAGCTTTTCCTGGAACACAATGGCGACAACAGCTCATATCAGCTCATGCAGTAGGCGTTGTACTGTCATGTACAAATCTATGCCACCACAGTTCAACTACGGCTTTAAGACGTAAGTCTCGCACCTAAGCATCAATCTAAACCACTCTGCCGGTGCTGCATGCGGAGCAGGCTCCTTGTTTTCTCCTACATTCCCCTTTCGGCTAAGTTCAACGATGTCGAAGCGCATCATCTGCGGAGGGTTGACATGATGGTTGCGGGCTTGACCGTCGTTGGGCTGGAGTATAGGCTGATCAGCGGGTACGAATAAACTCCCAACTCAGGCAGCACTGCAGGCTGCGATCGCCGAAGGCCGCGAAGTCCTCGCTTTGGTCTGCAGCTCGGCTAGCCCCTGCTGCCCCGAGGATTGTCGGGGCAGTACCAAGCAACCACCTAAGACTGCGACACTGTGATGTTCTGTGCGCCGCCAGCCGCAACATCTGTACTTGGATCTTACTGGTACAGGTGGCGAGCAGAAACACCCGCCCACGCTGAAACTGTGTGGCGTGTGAGTGGCACGACTGCTGATTCGGATTGCGTCGTGTTGAATTCAGGCTGTCCGTGGCCAGTTTGTGTCCAGGCTCAGGCTGATGGGCAAGATATTGGAAGGGTGTGCTGAGCCACGGGCCCCTGATCGCAGGTGGCCGGCAAGCGCATCCGATAACCCGTTGACAGCTCCGTCACGGCTGAGTGTGCTGTACTGGCCGCCAAATGCTAGCTCCGCGCTGTGCTGAGCTCCCCCATCTGCCACAATCACGAAGCGCTTCTGTAGCTGCTTCGACGACACTTGGTAGGGTCTCAGCTCATCTGCGGGCTCCTCATCTGCATCGGTTGGGTTTGACACGTCCCGTGGCCGGTTGGCCAGCTGATGCGTCAAGCCGCAACCCCACACAAATAGGTCTCCGCCCTCCGTGCTGGCCAACATGTGATGGACTCCACAACGCAGCGCTCGCACTCTCGGAAGCCCTTGAACTTCTCGAGGCTGCAACACCGGAGGGTCCTGCAACAAGCACTGGGTTTCCAAAGAATCGGGCATTGCGACGGAATGCTCTCCTATGACACCTAGACCTACCGGACCTACATCGCATCCATCAAACTTTGCTGCAGGTTCCGGATTGGTATGGATTGGTCTGGTGGGCGTGCCCCGGCGCAGAGGCTCAAGAACAAGCAATTGATCAAGAAACTTATAAGGAAACCATCTTGCCTTCTCCCCCAAACCAATGCCGCATTCCTCTGCCTTGCCCCAAGTGAACACGCGTCCATCCACCAGCGCTGCGGCACTGTCTAAGCCCCCACCTATCCAAGAAGCCCATCGCACAACGGGCACAGCCTGAAGCTGCTTCACGGCCATGCTCACAAACCCAAGTCCCACCTGACCATGACCATTCAAACCACAACCAAAGACGGCACCGTCGTCGAATGTTACGAAGCTGCCCTCGGCACCGGTATGCACCCCGGAAGCTACTTGGTCCCCAGCACCAATTTCCAGCGGCAGGCGTTGTGGCTGCAGCAGTTTCTGCTTC